AAAAAATTGCGCCGTGAGAACGGAAATTCTTTGCCAGTTCTTTTTGAAGTTTTCTTAATAAACGACTCCTCACCTTCACATCAAGGGCTGTAATGCAAAGCGTAGTAGCCAATGCTAAGAATGTTGTCGGCCAGCAGTTTTTTTAAGAAAAAAATATTTTTTTTTGTGGACATTTCAGGACCCGTCGCAACCACTTGCAGTTAGTGTACCACAGCCTGGCGCAGAGAAACAATTTTTGATATCACCAAGCAGTGACGATACAGCAGCCAGTGCTGAGGCATCCGCTGTGAAGAGAGAAAATATGGGAGCAAATGACGAAGGTTTCGTTACACCTCGTTTTTATTGTATCATTGAATTCATCATTCGATTGCATTCTTCCACAGTCGTTTGCATTGTCGGCGTACGGCACTCGACGCCAGCGGAATGCATCTACAAGCTATTCGAGCTGGTTCCGCGCTAATTTTCCCGAGTTGTCTGCGTCCACTATGCACTCACCTTTTTCCCGCGAATAACCGCTTTCTCACTCATGAGCTGAAGGAAGTTAAAGCAATATGGTGGTAGTAGAGTAGTGATTAATTAGGTAAAAACCGAAAAAAGGGGCAAATCGATCATTGGAATGTGATGTATACGGGCTGTTAGCAGAGGGACATATTATACTCACTGAATTCACGCTTCCTGACAGTCACGATTATTTCTCGCATTGCACTCATGTAACAATTGAAGCATTTAATTGTGTTATTATGATAGAGAGATTCTTTCCAGCTACCCCTGCCCGTCCTCCCTGCAATTTCCACCTTCGAAAATCCGCAAATACGAACAATAGCTAAATCAGTGATCGGAATTTCTAAAGATTTTTTGTACCTGGGTAATTTGTTTCTTACCTTTCTCAGAACACACGAGCAGGCATTTGGTTAGATTTTCTGTGAAGTGTTTCGTGAATAAAATGATGGATGTGGTGTTTTTACTAGTTTCGCTTCTTCAAGTAACTTCTGCTGGCTTAATGCTAAGAATGCAAAAACGCTGGACAGCCTCTGTGGTGACCCCAAATCCGTGATCTTACTAGAATGCTTCCAGATTTCAGTCGGAGCTGTGCGAGACCCTTCGATCCTGAGCTACAAGCTTCCATTTATCACCTAGCACATTTTGATATACGGCGGGAAAAATTACTGTCTTGGAAGCCATAAAAGATAAAAAGCTGAAATTTTGGGGGAATGCTACTTCGCTACACCATCTTTTCGGGGGTCGCATCAGTGGCCGTTGTTGATTCCGTCGGGTGATATACTACGTCCATAGGGTGCCAGCATGGGGACAACAAAATCTGGCTGTTCGATTTTACCAGCTGTATATTGAGGAAATAGTGCACTTGAT